CTCCACCGGCACGGCTGCTCCCACCGGCGCTGCGTGCCGCTCCACTCCAGGGTGCCCTTCCCCTGAGCCCCGCCGGAGCGCGGCCAGGTAAACCCGTCCGTGTGCGCCGGGCCCGCAGGGAGCGCCTTCGGGCATTCACACCTGCCTTTGGGACAGCCCGCCAGGCACGACTGCACCCGGGCTCCCCTCGTTTGGTTTGGAAACGGGGCTTTGGAGCTGCGCACGGCGGGGCGCTCTCTGCCCCGGGGCTGGGCGCGGGTCCCGCCGGCCGCTGCCGCCTTCTGCCCCTTCCAGGCCACCCCCGACGCCAAATGCCTTCGTGAGGCGGTGAAAAACAACTGAGCCCGCTAACCGGGCCGAACGCTGCCCTCCGAGGCTGCTGGCAAAGCTGCGGGGCAAAGAGTGCCGTTAGTGCGAAGGCTGGACCAAGCGGCGCTTGCAGAGGATGCTCCGCGGCTGCAGGCGCTGACACTTCCCCCGCGCTGGATGCCGGGCGAAGTCACCTCCCTCTGCCCGTCAGGAGCGTGAAGGTAGCAGCACTCAGCCACTTCAAAGGGGACCGTAATTCTTTATCATTGTCAGCAAAAGACTTTCGGCTCCTTGGATGAAAGGCTATACAAGTGCAAAACATTGATGCTTTATAGCTGATGAGGGCAGATACATTCAAATACTAAGTGACTGCAGAAGCACACAGGTAGCATATGCTAATACGGTAGGCATCAAAAGGAAACCAGGCGCTCTTTGCAATTTAAGAATGAATAAAACATGCAGTCAGTAGTTTTGCATCTTTGAAACTCATTATATATTGAAATAATGTTGTAGCCCCAGGCATGACAGCATCCTAAATAAATGGTGGTAGAATCTGCACTCTGTGGAGCCAAGATGTTTCGATTTACTAAGTGGTTAGTAGTGAAAAGGAGACTAAAGTAAAACTTTTAATAGCCCTATACCAAGAATCTTGTCAATGCATAAACTGCCTTGGTGAGAAGAACCTACGCCACTCCCAAAACAGCCATGCAAAAGGGTGCTATTCCACTCTATAGTGCTGGCCTATAAACACACAGAATGTGCATATGGGATGGTAAACTAGCAAGTTTGTGAGGTTGAAAAAAAGATTGTTGTCTTAAATTGAATCTCAGATGGCTTGCATACTGGGTGGCAAAATTGAGATGCAAGTAGAAAGAAGGAGATGCCAGAAGGATGCTTTACTATTGAATGCCATTTCTGCTCACTGCTACATTTAAACAAGAGACAGATTAAATTATATTCCATCAGTTTAAGCATAAACCTAAAAAGATAAGCAATTGGATCGATTCACTCAGCAGGCAGAAACTGAATGGACAGAGGGACAGGCCCAGTGGCTTTGTGAATTTGTGCATTCTGAATGATTTGCTTCGGTTCCTAAATAGTACATTTAACCCCCTTTCATCCTATTCAGCACTTATGTCTGGAAATTGTGTAGAAAGCATCTACATTTTCTGTAATGTGCTCTGAAGCCTCATACAATAAATGCATTTTGCTTGAGACTGCAGTAGCTGCATTATACATGTGCACTTATCCTGGAATTCCTTTCCCCACAGAATATCAAGATAAAAGGTATTTTCAGTGTTATCTCCTTTTCTTTGGGGAGTTGATTTCTTGTAACAAAAGTCAATGACCAAATAGAATCATGTACTTACTAATTCTCAATACATTTTGTAGACATTTAGCTAAAGATCCTTCTGCTTCATAAAGCTGTTTAGAACTCAGTAAACCTCTACTAGGGCAAAAGGGGAGACAGGCACCTGAACTAACTCTCTTAACTTCAGTCATTGTGGGTGCTATCCTTTATCTTAAGTAGGATTTACCACCTACGTTTACATTCCCTTCCAGTTTTAGTCCAAATTCAGCAAATATTTACATGCCTGGGTTACTTGACTCTCACGAGTAATCTTATTGATCTCAGTGGAGTTGTACATATGGATAAAGCCATTTGCAGATGCAAACAGGATGCACCCTTAAGCCTGAATTTCAACTAGTGGTTGGAAACTAAAACGAGCCTGGCAGCCTCTTGTATCATTTGAAATGAGAAGATTGAATTTGATTTTTCATCAGTTCCATACGCAAAACACAGGACTAAAAAAAAAGGCAGAACATTTTATATTAGCAGCCTTCTTGCTTTTGTCTTTTTTCTTCCTCCAACTTTGTAGCTGAAATTTCCAGATTAAGAAATATTATTTCTAATTTCATCCATGTGTTTCATAAATAATGTATTCTGTTTTGTATGAGACTTATTTAGACTACTAAATTTCTCATTAATATTTCTCTCCTTTTCTTCTTTTTCCCCCCAGAAACTTCATACTGGACCTTTCAGTGTTTAAAAGGAGCAACAGTTAAACTGATAAGAGAAGTTTGTCACAAGTCCAGATCAACAACAGCTGACCTGATAGCCACTACAGTCCCATCTTCAGCAGTCCTGTCTGTCACATTCTACTGGACCTGGACTAAAGGCCCCAGTCTCACACCCTAACAACTGGTGTGGGGAGAAGGGTGGTGATGGGGGATGTACATGGACTTACTTGGTTGAATCATTCCCTGCAAATTATTTGTCTCTCACAATGAGAAATGAAAGTTAAAGATCAAATCAAACATCAGGTACTTGAGCTAGATTTCCAGGGGCAGTAAGAAGGGGAGGATTTGTCCAAGGGCACTCTTGATGGTATATAATGTTCAGACTGAGTGAAATTGAAAGTGCTGTTGACTACTCAGTTCAAGCTGTGTATACGGCAGTGTTTAGGATGAAATGGTATCAGACTTCAGCAAGGAATTGTGAAAGTCCAGTTTTTGTTTATACTTCTATATATTAATAATATATTCATATGTGTTTTAACATCTAACATTACATCTTTATGGAATTGCCTTAATAACATAGAATGCATTACTTTAATAGTACCAAAGTCAGCACCACACTAGGGGTCCCGCTGGCTTCATGTATAGTAAGCATAGTAAGAGTTTACAATATAAGAAAGCAAAGGGAGTGTTATCCCTCATTCTATAGCTGGAGAATTGAAGCACACAGAGATAAGAGATTACCCAAGGGTCATGCAAAACTGATAACTCAGATCTCTCAAGCCAGGCCTTAAGGTCAAGCCCATCTTCCTGTCTAATGAGCTGTTACTGCAAAGCCTATCATTTGTTTTCTTAAACTGGGCTGCCAAACCAGACAGTTAAAACCTGCCTAAAAATTCAGTACTACAGAGCTATTTGCTTAACAGTAGTTTTCCTAAAATACCCTCTAAAGTATTATAAATAGAGCATAAAAATAGACCATTGAAAAGAAACCTTTGTTTGGTCAGCCTGAGTGTTGCATAGCACTCTATTCCTGTAATTTACATGAATGGGATATTTGAACATAGCACTACAATGAATGAGGACTTCAAACAGAAAACAGGCTGTTCTTTTCAGCACTGGAAGTCAAGAATACATTGAGCTTTTAGACTGAGTTTTGCTCTTAAAAATATATGCTTCACATCTGCCTTTTATATCAGCAGAAATTACCTACCTACATATAAAGGAAAAGATGTTAGCTCTTTCATTAGCATAACTAAAACTACCTGAAAATAAAACATACCCAGATTTTAAGTCATTGCACCAGCTTTGAAATGTCAACATTTTTCACAAAATATATAAAGACAAGCAAAGATCAGAAGTGTCGTGGTTTAAATCTGGTATTACATTTTTTTTCTTACAACATATGATTTCTAATTAATGAAGGAATAGCAATCAAAAAAACTGGATAGCTGAAACTTTCTAATCAGTGTGCATACACAACCCCTTATCTCTAAGAACTTGAAACCTTACTTGAATTCAAGCTGGCAGAGTTTAACAGGAGTTACAAATTTCTCTACCTGAAAGAAAAATGAAATTGAACCAGATCCGGTTCTGGAGTTGTGTAAAACCATTCATAAAAGGATGGTCAAACTTATCTAAATCAACAGGCAGTCCTGCAGGTAAACTTCTAGAGTCCTGGGAAAAAAAAAAAACAAACCCCAAACAAACAAACAAACAAAACCAAAAACCAAAAAACAAAAACCAAAAAAACAAAAAAAAAACCAAAACAAACCAGTTTCCTAGAGGCATTCTACCACATATATATATATATAAATTATTTATTTAACTTGGCTTTGATATCTATTCTTGGCTATCTCTGTTTAGAAGTACAGGTAAAGAGTGTGGGAAAGCAATAAAGGTGAAGAGTAGCTCTTTAACAGTGATGTCTTACGAATGAGTATATGGATCTACTGTGGCACTGGATCTTTCATATAACCACAATTATTCAGTTAAATCTGATAAAATTGTAAAAAATAGTTAATATATCTATCAGAAAACTATAAATGCCTGTTCCTTCACAGAAGAAAAAATAAAACACCACCCTAGGAAGCCTGCTATAAGTCTACAAAATTATTCTAAATATCTGTTCTTTAAAGGCATTCTGATACCATAAAATCTGCTTTGAAAAAGGCATCTATTGTGAACTTTGACAGATCTGTTTATCAACTAACTGGTTGATTGTATATTTTGTAAAAAGATAGTATGTATTTCAAATAATATCTTACTTGAAATTTTGTACACTCCTCAAAGTCTGTATTCTTCAGCTGTCAAAGGCAATGCATCTAAAGAAAATTGAGAACTTGCCTATTTTCCCCTGTGGATTTGTATAGAATCAGTCTTTGAAAATTTTTTACTCAGTTTCTGACACAAATAAAATGGTAATTAATCATGGAAAAAATTTCCTGACATTTTCTGTCATTCCAAAAATGCAAAATTCTGATTCAATTCAGATTTGCATTTGACTTTGCTGAAATTCTCTGCTTCCATTTGACATGCATAACATGAGGCTGGTGGTAAGGACAGCTTTGCATGGTAACAATGTGATCACATCTACAAACGTGAAGCATTTGGACACAGTGCTGCAACAGCCAGGCTGAGCTCTCCCTGTGCATGTAGCAGTGCATGTTTAAAGGCAGCTTGCACAGGTACAAATTGCTGTCTGCTCAAAGTCAGAATCCATGTTTGCATGGATGCAATCCCACTTGATTGACTTGATCCAAAGATAGGTTAAGACTCACATTCTGGAAGGCGAAACATGAGTTTCTAAAGCATTGCATTAATGATTAATTAATCTTGTACATAGTGGTAACATGGGGAAAATGAAAACTTAATTTCAAAGTATGTTTCATCAAGTCCTGTAACAGCAGGTCAGCAGGAAACGGAGGTAAATGCAAGGCTTTGGTGAGAAACAGCAATTTAGCATGTTCCCAAAGGATAATAAACAATTCACCTCTTCCCTTTCCAGTATGGAAAAAAGGAAATTATAGGAGAATAAAGACTGGAAATATTTCCCTTACGCCATATACATATGCTATAAATATCTCAGTGTCTACACAAAGCCAAATTTTGCTAAGGGTCACAAAAGATTTAAATTGACATCAATCAAGAGAAACATTAGCATGGCAAATAAATTTCAAATCAGAGTTTGCCTATCAGAGTACAGTAGTCTACTGATCTCTATCTACTTGCTCTTCTACTGGTCTTTCTCTTTCTTGCTAGTGATCAGCTGCAAAATATCTGTGCAAAGTAGGAAACACTCCAACAGCACAAACAGGGCAACATGGCATTTAGAAAGCCTAAAAACCTCATTCCAAGGCTGAAGCTGCTTTTCCATGTCTCCAGTTCAGACTGTTGTCTGCCCAAGTCTCTGATCCTTGCTTCAACCTTGTTTTTTAGATTAAAGATGACTTCCAGTAGAGCACACCTGCCTATCTCCATGTTAGTTATGTCCTATCTACATATTAGTGTAGAACCTTAAAGCAGGAAAGTCTTGTTAAAAGCTTTTACAATCAGTGATTTCCCTCATAGAGTGAAATACTGAAGTGTTTGTATGGAACATCCACTTGAGCAATTCAGAAAGACAAAACAGAAATACCAACTGAGAGCTTCCTTTCATATAAGATATACATTCACAAGAGATCATCACATCTTTTCTTTCATGCATACAGAATATTTAGCACAGTTCAGCATTTAATCTAAAAATTATTAAAACCCAACAATGTGAACATTTTTCAGACACCCCAGTATATTCCTTAGGTGGTACAAAATACTTATTTTCTCAGACCTAAAAAAACATATATATTGGTTTTTTACAGAAATAAAAAGCTACTGGGGTAGCACTGAATAATAAAAAAGAGGATAAAATAATGATACATTATTTAAATTTTTATTTTAAGGTGCAGCTGTAACATATATTAGGAAACATTCCTTCACTTTCGTTATTTTCTTGCTGCCCCAGCTACAAGCCAGTAGATCTTACCAAGACCTACATATATAATTTCAGTGGTTGTAGTTGCATAAAGAGAATCACTTCAGCTGTGCAGAGTAACAGGCGTGTGGGTTTGCCACATCTCACCAGAGCAGAGCTGTGGTGTTGGTGGTTAGCAAAGCACTGCTTCCCAGCAGAGCACGTGTAAACCCCTGTGCTCACACAGCACCTATTTCTGCCCCTCAAGCTTGGGCCCAATGCTCCAGTGCTTACTGCATGCACAGCACACCTCGGATTTTACTTCAGACCGCACAATGCAGCCCATGAGCAGGTGCTGACACTGCAGGGACAGGCACTCAGTGCAGTCCACTGGGGGTGGATGGCACTGGCCACCCCAGCACCCAACCTTGCAGAAGCAGAGAGATGTCTGACAAGCAGGATACAGCAAAACCAGAACAATTAGGACTCATTGTTCAATTTAGCACTGTGGCATGTCACATTTAGCACAGCAAGGTCACAGTTGGGCTTCACCTCCTGTGTACAGCAGCAGCCATTCGCCCCTTTCATGTGGCCTTTCAAGCAGCTGATTGCACACAGGCCCCCTGAGCAGCTCTGCAGTCCCCTTTTGCAGACCACTGAGCTCAGCCACGGGCAGGGTGGCCAGGAGAAGGCAGATGCCCAGGCCCACGGAACCCAGCAACACCACACCACGCACTGGGACAGGCAGCACAGCAGAACCTGGGGGCTGGGGAGCATTTCTGCCTCCAAACAAGGCTGGCCTTGGCCCATCTGCTGCAGACAAGGAGCTTGGGGCTGCCACACACAGCAGCAGCTCCTACTTGACAATTCACTGTAGCTCTACCATGGCCAGAAGTTCAGGTGTTCAGGGTGAGTAGTAAAGATTACCAGCTTCTGGTTGGAGCCCATACAAATGTGAAAAGCCTCCACCCTGCCCAAATAAAAAGCTTAAAGATACTAAGAAAACAAGATAGAGTTGGGAGTACGATACCCCTGGGGCAAGGGGTGGGTGCTTGTTAGCATTTGTTATCACTTGTGAACTTAGAAAGGCATCATTTAAACGGCAGCAAATGTACATATGTGCACACAGCAAGCCATACTTCCTTTTCTTTCCAGCTACCATGTTCCACAGAAAGCAACACTACTGGTTAATCCAAGGTTTACCTTGAGCAGTCAAGAGAGGAGAAGAGGAAGGTTTGAGTAATGACCTCAAAACAAAGGAAAGCTGTTCTGCTACACTATGCAGTCTTCTTCTCACTGTTGGAAAGAAACACAAGTGGCAGGGGAAGGCTGAAGCATGATGGAAAAACCATTCCCCATAAGACCCATAAAACCATTCCCTATAAAGGGGAATAAAACAAAACTTAAAGCTTCAAAACAAGTGCATAGCTATCCTTGTTTGGCTAGTCTTAAGTGCCATCACTGCTGTGAGAACTTCAGCATAACAAAAATCTGCACAGATTGCCTGTTGGAACCAGATGTACATGAGCTTGGAAATAACAGAATTCACACTTCCTTGGTTGCATTTATTGTGCATGAACTTCACAGTCACATTTTACTGGTTTTCATAGAAATTATATAAATTGACATACACAATCACATCAAAACCTGAGTTCTAAAAACAAATAACTTTATTCCTTACATGTATACTATAAAATGGCTGCATTTTCAAGAAACAACAGCTAAGGAGAACAGTCTAGTGTTGGATAGCAGCAAAACCTCCAGTATTTCCTGTTTTCCTTTGAATGAGACAACCCCCATATTTGTTGCACACTGAACTGTCTAGGTACTTCTAAAGTTGTGCCCTAACACCAAAGTAGGATGAATTAATTTTCCTTTTTTATATTCAACCACAAGACCACTCCTCTTGAGAGTCTTCTTCCCAGTTTTGATTAGTGATTACCCTATCCCCACAGAGGTATTGGCTTCTAAAATAATTCTTTGTCTACACTGGTAGACAAAATAGTACCCAGAACAAAATGTTTCTTTCACCAGCCTTAATTCACCATAAATTAAAACAAAGAATTCTTGTTTCTTCAACTTCTAAAAGAACTTTCTGTCTTCTGCTGTCTTCCACTTCCCCACATACACCATTTCAGCTTTTGAACCAAGATGCTGACTTTTTTGAAGGGCCAAAGTGAAGAGCAAGTATATAACAGGCATTTTTGACAACATCTTTAAAAGCATTCAACACAAGTTAGTTACCGGATCAATGGAAAAGCTTATGCTCAAGTACTTTTGCTTTGTTAGCTCAGTTGGCAGGGTAGGAGTCTTGTTACTAACACAAACTCCTAGTAATGGGATAGTCATCAGCCCTGAGGAGCCATCTTAAGAGTTTTAAAGCCAGAATTCTAAACAATTGCTTATCATGGCATGGTTTTTGTACCACAAACTTGCATGTGAGATTTACAGTTTTAGGACACCCACCACTTTTTTTATAATCCTAAGTTAGATGCCTAATTTCTCCACTTACCTGACAAAGGAGAAAAGGAGACATCTACAAAACAAGTGTCTGTATTGAATTACTGAAGTACATCACCTCTATCCCTGGAAGTAAAGAAAATCAATGACAGAACACATCTAGTCTCAGCTTCAGGAATAGAAACTGCATATACATCCCTTGGAAAGTCAGATTTTTCTAGATAACAAATTTGTATTCCAGAAATATAAAATACTTTGGTAGCCTGAAGCTTAAAGGTTACACAGCAATACAAAATAATAGCAACAACTGGGCAAAGTTAATCCATTAACTCAGGTCCAACTTGAACTTATGAGGAATTAAAAAGCCTTGAAGCTGCAGTACTTTTCTGTAGAACTGATGATTTGAAGAGAGCCAGAGTGTCCAGTTGTAATAGGTTCATAGTGTATGCAGAGCTTATCCTTCCAGCTTAACTTCTATTTCAAAACGTGAAAGATGATTGAAGAGTCACATCTGTACAAATCTGTCTGGATATTACATTACTTCATGTTTCCCTCCAGAGCTCCAGCAGCAGTTTTCCAAACGCTGTTAAGTTTTGATTTGCTGAGAAGTTAACGCCAACAGTTTCTTGCTGAGCAGCGCGTTGTGTCGCTGAAGATACTCTATTACATCTCCTTGCTTCTCAACTATCTCTTCTAAACTGGAATTTTCCCTTGAAGCAACAAAAGTACATGACAAGTAAATGTAAGTAAAAAAGTAAACAAAAGCAGCCTGCTAATATGTGAAATGTCACAGCTAATCAACAACAAAACAACTAAAAAGCAACTTCAACGGTTGTTTCCTTTAGTTTCACTTTTGCTGGGATCAACTAATTTTTGAGGGAAGCGGCAATCTACACCAAAACAGACAACATGCTAGAATTGTAGTAAGAACCACTGAACCTTTCCCCCACACATTAAGAAGCTTGTTTTGAACGGGTGTAATATTGTTGTTAAGCTGTGGAAGACTGTAAATTGTTTAAGACAGAAATCTCTTGATTAACCTGGAGTAGCATACATTGTGTGTTACTATATATAGCAATATCTGTCACATACCATAACAGCATCAGTACCAAAAAGTTGTGCTATTTCGGATCTGCAACCTTGTGTACAACTACCCTCCCCCCTTAAAATATATCCAGCTTTCAGATACCTCTCATTTTAGCTCCAATAGTAACACTGCAACACTTAAATAAAGCTAAACTGAGAAAAAAAAAAAAAAACCTATAGAATTTTGTCAAATCTAATTAGGAATTTTTAAGATACAGCAAGATGAAGTACCAATGCCTGAGTGTAGTCTACTCTTTCCTTACATATTATTTCTTCTCAGCTGACTTGGGAATCCACCCTCTTAGTACACTTGTGAGCATCTTAGTGCTGAGAAAGTTGTTCCTCAGCCTTACAGCATTTTGTAGAGAAACACTGCCCATTTCATAGTTCTTAGAAAGTGCTGAGAAGGGTATTGAGTGGAAATTAGGTTAGGTCCAATTAAAAACCTACTGTAGCTAAACTGGGAAAAGTGAAGAACACAAGTTTTGTAAACAGAAAACTTGCAACCTTAACCAGTAACATGCACTACCAACTTAAGGCTCCTGATCAGTAGCTCAGGTTGCAGAGGTCATGATATTCAAAAAACATTCTTATAACAAGGTCAACTGAAGGGCTGACAGGATTCACTTTTCAATAGACCTTAACTCCCAAGGGAAAGAGAGTCAGAATTGTATAGAGCTAAATTAAAGTAACAGTTTTGCAATCAGCTCTCACAGGAAGTTTGCACACTTTAATCAAAAATAAGCAGAGTCTTTTCCTCAGCTGGTCATTGTTGCAGACACATTCCCTGGGCATTTGAGAATTTCTCAGGGGAGAAGATGAATGAGAAAGAAACGAGGTCCACCATGCAATCATCATGGTTTTTATATCAAAATGGAAGTCAGACATGGTATCAAAATTCAAGACAACTCTAAATCCTTCCTGTATCCTGGACATCTACTTCCAAGTTCCATAAAAGCATGTGCATGCTGCATTCGTGACACCAGGGGAAGTCCCAAAATATTAGTCATCTCTCATTAGTCAACCTTTCATGAAGGCAGCATATATAGAAGCAAGTAATAGTATATTAGAAAATCTTCAATTCTTATACAGAAATACATGTTACTTTCAATTCTAGTTTTTATTAAGTCATACCAGACTAATTTCAGCAACTGGGAAACATTTGAGCAATTGGCAGGTACACAAAGAACAAACAAAAAAATAAGTCTCAGTGCCTAGGACAGTTTCAGTTAATGCTGGACAGCTTCTGCTCTCACTGAGACCTTCCTTACTCTTTAAGTGCCCTCCACACCTTTGCCTTCCCAAGCTCAAAATGCATTCCAAATCCATTGCTAGAATCTCATGTCCAATTGCTGGCACAGAACAGAGCAACTAAGTTCTCTTCTTTGTCTATCTACTGCCCACAATATATTTCCTTCCCTGAAAAAACTGGCAGAAGCAGTTAGGCTTATGTAGGCCTACTTTAAGTAATATTGTAAGACAACAGTATCTTTCCTCAAAGCCCGTATAACATTAACTAAACCAGATTAAGCAGTTATTTATATTAAAGATTCATGTAACCAGACATAAATGGTCAAATCACTTCCATACTTATGTTTGAGGATTTCTGCATCATAGTAAATTGTAATGTACTATGCAGAAAGTACAAGACTGCTGCATTTCATCTCTGCATATAAAATGGGAAGCTTGTGAATAGTTCCTTCAGAGCTGTTTGTTATTCCCACCTCTGGCTTATAGCTGACAGGTTTAAGATTGCATGAAGTCTACAGGAAATCATGCAATTCCATTAGTGATACCTATATACCATGGCTGAACACAGCACAAAATTAATACAGAATTCTTACCTGAATCCAATTTCTGAGGTAATGTGACTAGGGTAGGCATACATCTTCTCTTCTTCAATTATGTCAGGTCTTGGCTTGGCACGATTGAAGTTGCTTATTTTCACTGCAAGAAAGCTTTATAAATCAGTTGGAAAGTGGAAAAAAAACAAAACACCAGAGTCCAAGTTATAAAATCTGTAACAGATGATCCTAAGATTATCTCAGGACAGGAGATGGAAACACAATAAAGGAATCTGAGAAATGGGAAAGCAAAAGCATAATCTATTTCTACTCATTCCTGTAATTGCTTTGATTATAAGTCAGTGATAGTTTGGCAAGTTGATTTATTCGTTGGTTCATTTTTTCTATTCCCCTCAGTCCTGCTGCTTAAAAGACCTGAATGTGGAAGCTTGAACATACTGCCTAAGATCTGCAAAGTTTAATCTGCCATCTAAGAGAGGGTGAAGCCTTAGTTGCCTTTTACAGGGTACCAAGATTCAGTCTCCAAGTTCAGGGAAAACTAAGCAACACGCCATAAAAAAAAATGTAAGAAGTTTTCTACTGGTAGCTGGTTCAGAACTTCTAGCTTAAGCTCTTCAATAAGTACTAGTTTAACTAGACCAGTTGCAGTGAAGCAGCAGCTTGTTTACCTGCTCAGACTAGGCCAGACTTGCTACAGAAAGCCATTGTGAACCTAGCAGTCTTGGCTATCAAACCCAGAAGTCATTCCTGGGCACCTGTGAATAAAGTTTCAGGCTAAATTTAACAGATATAGAACGAGAATGGGTGGGAAAAGCTGTAGGCACCCTCTGCATTATTTCAAAAAGGAAGCTGAAAATATTTAAAGCCATTCAATGTCAGATCCTGATTCAGGGTCAATATCAAAATATCCAGAGTATGCATTCGGGACTCTGTAGTTAGAGCTGCTTGTGAAACAATAGATCTAATGCCACAAAAAACATTACAGCAGCTCTGTGAGAAAACCACACCACTGCAACAGAGAAGGAGTGTCCTTACAAGTCAGTACTATGACGGGGTTTATTATAGGCCACTCTGCTAAAACAATGCTAAGACCCTCCAGAGGTTAACTACAAGTTAGGCTCAAAGGTTAGTTATTTCTATGATGGTATTTCTCTACAAATAAAACCACAAAGGAATGGATGTGGAATTCTCAACATGTGTTGTTTGTGGGAATGTTGGTCTTTTATTCAAGTGATATTAGAAGTATGTGAGAAAGTAATTAAATACATATATTTAGTAAGACTTTTAAAGCTTTACTCCCTATCCTAGCAGTAAAAAAACTTAGAATAGTAAGCTGACATTTAGAGCTGTCTGTATCATACTTCATTCCATGCACTTTTACCTCACTTGAACGATTTATATATGTCAAGTCTATTATAGGTCAATCACAGCAATTCCTTGTAGATTTCTGAATCTCTGCATCCTACAGCTACATACACACACTGCTGCATGGAGATAATTTTCAGGAAGGCAGTAGTCCTTCACAGGACATTGTCTATCATACAATTCATAAACAGCTCCCAGAAGTGAGAGGAAGTATCTAGAATTACAATCAGGTATTCCTGATTTGTGAGACAGAATTATTTAACAGAAAATAAGTCAGGTACATGAACATTCTACAGACAAGCATTTATGTCTCATTCTAACAGTTAAATAATTATTTCCCTGTGAAGAAACAACATGTGAACTGATGCTGCCTTCTCTCCAAAATTAGGAGTAACATGCTAATACAAAAAAGGGTGGGCCAGTAGTTTTTAGTGTAAATTTACCTTAGTCTCCCCATTGTTGCTCTGCTGATACCTTAGCTGATACCTCTGCTGATATCTTAGCAATATCTGCTAAGTGCTTGTCTTGAAGAGGGGAATTCTAAACCTCAGCAGAGGGCTGGCCTTAAAACTGTCCCATTAAAGAAAGAGGCTTCATGCTTCCACCCAGTCACATACTCTGCTTTGCCTGAGAGAAAAACACCCATCTAAACATCATTATTATTACAGATTCTCAGGGTATTTTCAAAATTGGCCAAATACATTTGTTTTGCCTCAGCATAGCCTTATTTTGATATTAAAATATTGAAAAACCTTAAAACCCACCACTACAGATAAGACCGACATGCAAGCAGTTTCTCAGCTCACCTCAACAAACATTTGGATGGAAAACAAGAAATCAAATTATACTACCCACTGGAAAAAGCAACCTAGGGTGACTGGAAGTCTTCCTCATCTTGCAGCAGGTGTAAAGTCACATAAAAATTAACCCTAGTTTTGTACACCAAGCTTTAGAGAATAAATTCTATGTTGATTTGGGTCTGCCCAGGAGATAAAGTAGCTACACACTAGAACACACTTGGTAGAACACACTGCCTTACTCCTTCCTAGCAATGCAGCTCTTCCCCTTTGTTCCAGGATTCACCAGACCCTTCTTCCAGCCTCTCTGAGCTGGAAAGCACAACCCTGCATCAAACAACTTCCTTGTATACATTGGCTAATGAATTTGAAGGTCACAGGAATTGGCATAGTAGAAGTCAGGAAACAATACCTTTTTGGTGACAAGCAGAAAAATAGCTTGAGAGTTCTTACAGAAGTACAGGCTCAGATCTTACTACTATGTAGGTCATCTTCCTTGCACTTAGGCTTTTTGGTCAAGGTAAGAGTCACACAATGTAGCTCTTTGAGCTCCAGCAGGCCTCAGGGCTAGAAATAGCCTTTCTCTGGAATTCCTGACATTCTATTAAAGTTTTACAATTTATCTCTTATTTCCCGAGTTTCCCAGGAAAGTAAGTATGCGTATGCAAAGAAGGGATGATCTCTGGCATTCCTGGGATAGTTTTCCAGGACTGCCATGATTGCATTCCCTCATCACTGCCTTTATTCTTCCAGAGGACAGTCAGTCTACTTGAGCCACGCTGGGACATTGAGGGGATAGCCTGACAAGCCTGCAGCATTCAGGCTTCTGCACACTTGTAAGATAAAGACATCATTTAGGGCTGGGACCTTATTTCTTGGTGCATTTTTGATGCTGTTGCAGGAGAGTCAAGAATAACTTTTATTTCCTAGATGAACAAGCTACTTGACAGTATTTCTCTGTGTGCCATTGTATTACTATGAATACACCCAAGTTTTCTTTGAAGCATTTATTTATCAACATTCTAGGTAGCTTTGCAAAGTTGCAAAAAAAGGCAAGTGTTTTATCAAGCCTTCATAAGTTACACCAAACCTAAAGCAGACAACCTTACAAACCAACAGTGATAGCACAAAGCAAAGCCTCACAGTTTTAGAAAGCACTATTGTGTGTTTTGATATGATCACAGCTTCCAAAACCCATGCACCTTTTAAATATTCATTAGGAGGAATCTTCCATTTTAGTGAGAAAACTAAAAGAACTTTTTAAACTCTAAGTTTAAAGAGAAACTGAAACCTTCAGGGTGGGACCAGGGAAAGAGGAAGAGGCTGGATAAGGCACAATCACACGATCAGGTATGCAAACCCTACATGTAAATCCCAGAGGCAGTTCTGACTAAGCCAGCCAGCTCTTACTGTTTCACAGCTTGTGGTGCATGCATTTGAGAAACCCTGATAAACAGACAAACCTGTTCACGGGACACTTTTTCAAACAATTAGGAATTTATTGCCACTTCACTGGATTAACAGCTTTGAGATAACAGAGAGCTTTCATTTAGCAGCCCTTGGAATTAAATCAAGCCTGACAACCCTTCCCAATTTGTTTTGGATTTGCCTTAGTTCTCCTTCCACAAGCACAGAATAGTTTTGTATTTATAATGGTAGTTAAACGCCTTGGGGTACCCCAAGTGCACTACTGTGAGGGCAAACAAACAGTTGAGTACCAGCTATAATGAATGTCATAAAAGAAGGCAAAGGTTGCCACTCTCACCTGTGTAAATCACTAAGCATGTCAGGGAACTAATCATCTCCAGGCTCAGGACTCCCAGGATAAGATATAGGTACACTTTGCTGTGATCAGGAAAGGAATGCTGCACTGACAGAATCAAGAGCAGGGCTGTATTACCTAGAAAACAAATATTGTATTTTACAGATTTACTAATTTTATTACCTACTGAAAATAAATACCTTCTCATCCCCAGTATCTGCATTAGGCTGTAACACTTCAGTAATGCTTTTCCATTTCATACCATACTTGCCCCTTCAGCTAATTTCCTTAACATGCAGGCTTTTACCTGCTGGTAGTAAAATGAGGTTTCATTTCAGCATACACCTGTAATGGTAGACAATTATGAATTTTCTTATAGATTCTTCTGACTTAAAAAACAAGAGTGGAAGAAACACACTAGAAATAACTAAAATAAGTACATGGCCTTAAACAGTTTCTGGCTTTGTTGATGCTATCCATCTTACCCTTCTTTCAATTCCTAAGAGATCACATCAGTCAGCTGAAAATGAGGGGGTATTTTCCTTCAACCAGTGCATTTAAAATATATTTAAATTAGGCTAAGAGAGCAAAAAAAAAATTAAACACCTTCCTTTCAAAGGCTACCTGCATAGGCTTCCACTTGCCCAGCTATTATATTAATACTTTAACATTACTGAAAGTTAAGTTGAAAAGAGTACAATTAGACAAGGAGAAAAAATACTGTTTTATAGGCCTAAACATTTTTTCTGATACTGAGTTGAAGTGTTCTATTCTTTCCTATATAATTGTTATAACAAGTGTCTGGATAAAGAACTAAATTTATAAAGACCATAAATGTAGCTAGGAAACTGTGCAGCTCTTTCCTACCATATCAGTCAAGCAAAGGAAGTGGTACCAGCAGTCATTACCATGGCAGGAAGCTTGCAGTAATGGAAGAACTACCTTCTGAACAACAGATGATCAAAATTCTACAGGACACACCTGACTGCATCTGAACATTCACAAATGCCCAGAGTTTGTCTAGCAGGGGAGAAGTAGGCTCCATGTAAGGACTGAAAGCCAGGCTCAATATTGCCAATTACACTGTAACAGGTAGAAATAATACTTTTACATCGTTAAGCCTCCTGTAGCCTGCTTCTGTCATTACACTCCAAACACTTCTGCATCTTCAGAGCTCTATCTAGTGGCCAGAGCCCGAAGTGTTGTGCATTTATCAAGTTGACTAGCTCTTTCAGGGGCTGTGTGGAAAGAAAGCTAGGCTTTTACATAGAACAGGACCATTTCACTTATTAATTCTGGTAAAAAAACCCATCTACTCCAGGAGGGAGGCAGGATTACAAGAGGCAAAAATGCTGTAAGAGCCATCACTTTGCCTTTTTGCATTGCTATTTGTAGGGAAAACCCCCTTAAGTTAGACGGATTTCAGATTTGAAAGTGATTTGTAGAAAAGTTTCACCAGTTAATTGCACCAACACTTTACAGCTAACTTGCCAGAGATGTAACTTAAAAATACAGTTAAATCATTCCTATATACCACCTTTTATCCAGAGAAAGTAGAAAAAGGCAGTCAGACATAGAGCTGAATGTTACAGGTCCACAGTGAAGGATGGTTACTGGTTATTTCACTGAATTCAGACAGCTGTTGGGCAATAAGCAATTCATCTATATGGATTGCTGAGCTTGAAAAGAGAAGAGCAGCACACTTCCTGGAAGGACCAGCAGTGCTACCACATACCCAGCCAGACAAATGAATATGCAAATCAAGATCACTAGCAGTCAAACACAGAGCGTGATGAATACTTCATGGCTGAAGACTAAATGCTAATGACTAAATGTTTTACTCAACCTCACAGTCGTGAGCACTACAAACAGTTCCTTACAACTGGCATCTGGCAGACCAGAAAGGTCAATTCAGAGGTTTATCTGACTAAAGTATAATTTGTAAGTGCTCATAGGCAGGTTTGTAAAAGTTCATAATATATAATACATAATTATATATAAAATTCTCAGTCTTTTATTGCGTAACAGTTAAAAGCTTGAGATAGGAAAAACCCCAAGTTCACTTCACCTGTGGCATGTATCAGCAGTGGAAGCCTTTTCAGATGCCTTGTTGATCGGTATATGGAGAAGTAACCTCTTCTTCTGACTCTGCCATGGTGGTGCTCGACATATCGTTCAAAAAAGACATGCAGAACCCACAGAACTACCTTTGCAATTATTATGACAGTCTGCACTTTAAGTGGGTGAGTGTAGTTTCCAGGGCACTTGTCTTGGTTTGGGTTGGGGTAAGAACAAAACATAGCTGCTAAAAATGCTAGAACAACAAAAGCAACCTGGAAGAGAAAGAAAGAGAGAAAAATCTTTAAAGTCAACATTCAGCTATACGTATATGAAAAAAACCTGAAACACAAAATCAGGATTATGTTGTTAATTCATTATGCATTACTTTCTGAATTGATTTTATTAGATTTGAGGTAACATATAAAACATCAGACACTTGTTACAACCACTACATGTCACTCTGGGAACATACAGATGAATGAAATTGCTAAGTAGTAAGACTGACTTCTAGGAGGGCAACCAGTCTCCAGCAGAACAGAGCTGGTAATTGTCATCCTTCCCAGAATTTCTACTAAATCAATTTCACTGTTCCTTGAGTCTTCATAGTGATTTTATTTCATTTCTGGACCCTCCTTACTATGCCTTTTTACTTCAAAGAAAACTTGATTTACACTCCTGTAAAAGAAAAATCACATCTTTTTAGACTCATTCAATTATACTTAATGCTGTTCTGTGAGACAGGCTCTTATCTTATTGGTACAGCCTATGTTTCCTTAAATTGACACCTCCTAAGTGAAAATTAATGCTTTCCTACAGCCACTGAAGATCATGTCCAGGTTGACATTAGAAAAGTGAACTATTAACACTGAGTAGGCATCTTTGCCAACTGGTAATCATTCTTTAGTATATTTACCAACAGATTTTACTTATGTCAGAAAAACCAGACAGCTTGTCAGTCAGATTGCTTGTATACTTAACCTTTCAGACTACCACCATTATGCTATAACTTTTCCTGTCTTCTAGACTTTTCTCCAAATTTTCAGCATCAGCAGTGAGCATCAGCAATCTTTTGGCCAATTAGAAAGCAAAGCTGTGGATGCATATTACCTGTAGTATACGTCTACACGCAGGGCTTCCTTAATATTTATAGTTTTGTCACAGAAAATATTTTCTCTACTGTGTTCATTCAGTGAACAAGAACAATATTATACTTCCTCATTCTGGTTCATTCTACAGAACAGGGATATTTTTAAAACAGAACTGTAAAGAAAAACAACTCCTACCAATACAGAAATAAATGGAGAGCTACTAATAGACAAAACATAAAAAAATCAATTTGCCTCAATTCTACAAATGAGTTCTAATATGCCTAGCTTAAAAAAAAGGTGTCAGATGTCCTGCATGTCATAACTGAAAGAAACAGCACATCAGAACTGAAGACAGAGGAAAGTACCCAATTTTCATTTGCTGCCTTTGCTTTCAAACTTAGTTCTTCAGAAATTAACTTTTCATAACCACTTAATTACTCTTGAGACAAACTGCCCTTAGCTTGCTCTGGCTGTGACCAGACTTAGGCAACTGGGGAAGGAGCAAGAAAGGGGATTAATTTTTACACAATTGTCAATACCTAAAAAAGACATTACAGAGGACATACAGGATAGAAGGTGGAAGCAAAGAAAGAAAGAAACCCAAACCAAAATAGGATTGTACCAAAATAGGATTGTACCCCATATTATCCATAAACCATTACCTCAGTACAAATTAAATGCCATATTATCTTAAGATAGGTTGTTAGATTAAGTAATTAAATGAGAGCAAGCTTTATAATTTGTTTAATCTATTATTTTACCACCTCCTTTTCTTACAAAGCTAAGAATTCAGGTATTTTATTTGATCTGTTTACTGTTTGGTTTACCATTTTACAATAGTGATACAATTAGTTCTACTCCCTCCAGGTGTTAGGAATGCATTTCAGTACAGAAAATGGCTATATTAAACTGATGCAAGCAGGAATGCCATAGCATTGCATCTCTACTAAACTACTACACCAGTGCATACAAGAGGAAACAAGAAGCTGGTATTTAGAGTGGCATTTATTAAATATGTTTTGCTTGCATTGTTGGGCAGTTCACTCATAGGTGTTTCACCCCCCACATATTTTTACATAGAAAAAGTTATTCTTATAAAGAGTAGCATTTAAGTTCAATTTTGTGTATGTGCACACACAGAGAGGATTAAGGAAAAGCAGGATTAATATAAAGAAGTTATTTCTAGCCTGTAAACTTCACATTGCTCTCCAGCCTCCTGATGGGAAGCCTTCAGAAAAGCAAGGCTTGGCAAAAGGAAAGGCACTCAAAAACCCTGTCCCACTACAGTCCAGCATATCTTACCCATTTTCCAGAACTGTATGTAAATAGGCAGCTGCATTACAGCAGCTAATTTGCTACCTAACTCCATTTCTTGGCACAGGAAGGTGGAGAAGAAATACTCCAAGTTACATATAAATTGCTTTAGAGATGCATTCCAGCTCTACTGCATAATACTATGATGGCTTAAGTTCTCCAGGACATTTTCCCCTTTGACAGGCTGTGCATCAGAAGCTAACCTGGCCTCTCTCCACATTCCACAAGATTAATGCAGGTTTGCAGAAGCACAGGGGAAGGAAATCCAAGAAGCTTGTTTTCTCCATTCATCTTTTCAGTGGGAGAGACAGTGCCGCTCAAGGTAGCAATTATAATGCTGTTTTGCCAACAGAAGTGGATACTTCTCCATTTTGTTCTAAGGACCAACTGGTCACTGAAGCAGGTTCAGCAGTAGCAACAAGACTTAACCCGTGAAAACACGTGTTGACAGATGCCACAGAAGTTTTCCCATTTCACCTACCCACACTTCTCTCTATTGCAGGAGGGGAAAAAGTGGGAGAATAGGCAGCAGTTTCCTAGGATCTGGTGACTGACATTTGGCTGCATCAGTTACAGTAGTAGACAGCAAAGCCCCAAGGCTTGGCAAGTCTGCTCCACAGCCAGAGGGGAATTCCTTGATACTACTACAAGGCCCACAAAACATCTACTCCTAAAGTTAGAAGGCTAAAGCACATTGAACAACTTTATGCAGCTGCTCAAAGAGAGACCTTAGAGGTTGGCATGTCTTCAAGCACACTTGGCACTGTATTTTTTATTTGACATCAAATTAAGCTCTGAAATAGCTCATGTCACTGGTACTACAGAATCCTAGAATCTAGGTTGGAAAAGACCCTTAAGAGCAGCAAGTCCATCCTTTACTCAACACTACCATGTCCACCACTAACCCATGTCCCTAAAAGACATGAAAATGCCATTTCAGTCAGACCTTAGGCTCAGAGCTCTTCAGCCTTCCTTCTTCATATCTGGTTGCCACACACTCAGAAACAACAACAAGCCTCCTCAGCTTATCAAGGAAAAACTCATTACTAGGCAGGACTCTCTCTGCTTCTGTCTGCCAGCCCCCATAAATGCCTAGATACTGTTCAGTGTTTGTGTTTTTTTGTTCTTCCTAGTACAGCACTTCTACAGCAATAATATTATTTTTAAAGTACATTTTCAACGGCACAGAAGAACTACTATTTAAAATGCTCTTCCTCCTAACAAGATGCATCACAGAACCAACAACCAGCAGAATGAGAAGGCAGCGAGTATCTGATAGTATATACACTATCAAAATTTATTGGCAAATATGAGCAAACCTCACTGCTTTGGAAGAACAGCCAGTGTATGCAATTCACTGTCATATCATCAGAATTCTGTCCTATGAACAGTGGATTCTGAAGGATTCAAAAGAGAGATAGCAAGTTTTCTTAGGGAAATCATGCTTCTTAAACTTACATGTATTAGCAACAGGAAATTGGCAAGGAGAACTGCTGGGATAGAATGAAATCTTGGCCTCAGCTGGGAATGCAATGTATGAGATGAAACAAGTGGTGCATCCAGCAGAGGATCATCTTCCAAGCTCTGTGTTATTTCCAAGGAGCCCTGGAACAGAAAAGGAGGGCAAACAATAACAACAGGTAAGCTCTAAAAGTAAAGTACAAAGCTTAAGGAATTTTCTGTTAGCAAATCAAGCCTTGAGGGGGCAAAATCCCCACTAAGTTAATATCTCAAGAAAGCTCTTAAACTCTAGGTAAACTCTCATCCCGTTTTTATGTGAGAGATCAGTCCCTGAGGAACCCAACACTAATCCACTTCCTAGTATCACACTGAGCCTTCAGGAACTTCAGTCTTTAAAATGTATTACAAATATCTGAGCTTCAACCCTGAGAGATGTCAGAAGCGTAAGTATATTTATGGGGAAAAGTGACAAAGTCTCTCACACATGCTTTATACGGGTACTGCAAAACCCTTTGTTGTTCTTACTTTTGTCCAGCTGCAGTTGGAAGCAACAACATAGCTGCAGTGTAACAGTAACAGTTTTGAGTATTCAGCCTCTGATACTACTGACATGTCAAAACACCTGCAGCAGTAACTAGAGCCAAACTCAGGCAGGACAGAAGCAGCAGTTCACAGGGGAGAAGATGCTACCAAGTGCTGAGCAAGACATTCTCTTGCCTGCACTAGAGAGAATGCAGCATACTCTTGTCATGTTGGAGCCAAGTATTAGGTCTTTGACTTCATATTAAGCTCAAATGTAGTGTCTTTTACTAAGTAAAAGGTAAAACTAAGTATGGCTGGAGGGAAAAGCCCTTGACAAGGAACTTGCCTCATAGCTGTGTATCCCTGCTCCTTTCAGGCCAGGAAGAGGTCATTCAATACATATTTAAGTGCAATATGCACAGGCGTGATTATGGCCAAAACTGTTACAGTTTCTCTCTTAGCATCCTGCTATGTCCCTTGCCTCAGAAGATAAAGCAACTCAAGACTTCCACTCACGTTTTGACTGCTCTTCTCCTTTATGATACCAACCACAGCCCAGACCAACAAGAAAAGGGCAGACCCCAACCCACTCCAGACTTCTGACTAGTCAGACATGCCAGGGTCCACCTGGCACCTATTTACTGCTTTATAAACTGAGGACTTCTCTTAGCCATGAGAGAAAGCAGCATAAGCCTCCAGACAAATGAGGCACACCATTCTAGACACTAGCATGCGAGGAGAGGGATTAGACCTAGGTTTATACTTCACATCAATGAGGACAATGTAGATTGTCTCCAGTGTTATTTCACCTGCAGACAACTGCTTAAAGTGAAGGAAACAGTCATCAAGGGCTATTTCAGTCAACAACCTGTTTCATTTTAAAACCGTGAACACTACACTTGCCTTACCACGGAAAAGCGTGAACAGACCAGCCTCAGCTATTTGATATCTTTTAATTAGCCCAGTCTTTGACTGTAAATGACACTTACTGAAATACCTGCATGGTAAGATGGCCTTTTACTGCAGACATAAATGTTTACAAATGGTACTCCTCTTATGTCACTGATAAAAAATTCAGAAGCTTGAGAGCAAAGATGTCCTCTCTCCCTTGTCTGCCCATTTTCACAGGCTAAGTGCAATTTTAGGCTCTGAAAGCAAAGACCAACACTCCAGCAGCCAAGGCATCTTGCCTTATTCTTTAGATTACACATCAGTAAAAAATTCATTACTATGAGGGTGGAGAGACAGTGGAACATGTTGCCCATGAAGCTACAGATACCCCATTCCTGGAAGTGTTCAAGGCCAGGCTGGCTTTTGTTTTGAGCAACCTGGTCTAGTGGAAAGTGTTCCTGCCCATGGTAGGGGCCAGGAAATAGATCTTTAAAGAATCTTTAATCCAAACCATTATATGATCACAGATTCAACAGTGGGGTTAACAGCTCACATCTCCCACAAATGCAGCAATTCTCCTTAGGACAATATCCTTAGTCTTATGGGAACAAATGATTCACTATTTCTGTAATACCATAAGGGATCAGGGCAGTCTTTCACAAATTAAGTTTTATCAGAGCTTTCACTATGCTACTCTCTCACAAGACTGGTTACAGTCCATCTCTACATCTTAAAATACAGCTAGTATTAGGAGGCACTAGATGATGTAATCTCTTCAAATAGATTTTATTACAGACAACACGGAGAGGAGAATTAAAGCATGGGATGTGATGATCCCATGCAGTCAACCTGACAAAGAAAATGCATTAAGTGTCCTTTCTAACTGGAGGAAACACTGGTTTAATTTCATTAAGACGAGCCAAAACCACAGCTGTCATAAGCCAAAATGCTCTAAATCCAGACTTGTTTGGCACTGTTGCTGAGCACAGGTTAAAGCTTTAGCCTTTTGGTTCCCTGATCCACCTCCAGCATGTGACCGCTTCCACAGCAGCCCAGCGCCAGGAGAAGGAGGAGGGCAGGCAGGAACAAGCCACGGCCAGCAAGCCTTGCCCACGCAGGCTTCCAGCTGGGGCGGGGAGAAACATTCAAACAAACACAAAAACGCCGTGGCCACGCCAGCGAACAGCACATAATCCAGAGATGGCACAGACAGGATCTGCCTGTGGAAAAACAACCCGGAAAACCTGAAGGAGAGCCACACGAGCAGCCCCGATTGGAGGCTAATAATCTCGATTAAAAACAAGCCCAGGCCCAAAAGCCTCGGGGATATTTCAAGCCCGGCTGGGGAGGGGCAGCGCGGGGAGCGAGGGGCCGTGGCGGCCTCCTCCTTTCGGAAAGGGCCACTGGCAGGGCGCCGGGGCCGGCGGCGCCCCCCGGAAGAAGCAGGTAAAGCCTCGGGCGCCCGGGACGGAAAACAGCCAGGAAAAGGCGGAAGGAAGAGACGGCACGGAACACGAGGCGCTCGCCT